TAAGCTTCGGGTTTCTTGGACCTCAAGTACACAGAGTGGGATGAATCATGCTCATGACCAGCCTTTGCAAGGTCCTCCTTGTGCTCCACTTAAGTTATTCTTTTATTTCATTTCTTCCTGACTCATCTCTTTAATGTGTTTGATATGCAGCCATGGATATGTCTTTTCACTTGGAAAATATATAGTGTTATTTTATATCTGTAGGTGTCTTAATTTACATAAATTACATCATGCTCTAGATTTTTCCTGTTTTTAAAAAATTCATTTTAGAGAGAGAGGAAGAGAGAGAGATTTGTTGTCCCACTTAGTGATGTATCACTGGCTGAGTCTTGTACATGCCCCGACCAGGGACCGAGCCTGCAGCCTTGGCGTATCGGGACAACGCCCTAACCAACTGAACTACCCGGCCAGGGTCTGGTTTTCATTTTTATTTTTTCTCAGATCTCTGTAGGTTGCTTTCTGATAGTCTTCTGACTCCCTGTTATTGTAAACGTAGACGCTCCTGCTTATGGATTTTGTCTGCGTGTTTCCCCAGAAGTAAAATCGCTGGTTATAGGGTATAAACATACTTCATTTCTTAAAGTCTGTCAGGGTCTGTCTTCCAAAAGGACGAGCACAGGCACCCCTGGAGACGCCATGGCCCAGCCCAGGCCTCCGACTAAAGCCAGGCACACGAGCGTGTTGGTTTCCCACACCCGCAAAAGCTATGCTTGTGCTGCACCGTAGCCCATTAAGTGTGCAATTGCACTGTGTCTAAAAAATGTACGAGCCTTAATATAAAAAGACTCTGAAAAATGCTAACCATCACCTGAGCCCGCAGCGAGTCGTAATTTTTCTGCTGGTGGAGGGTCTCACCTTGACGTGGGTGGAAACGCAGGATCTTTGGAGCTGATAAAAGCAGCGTGGCTGCACCAGCTCACCCTCCCAGCTGTGTCCGCAGACCCTCCAAACCCCGGTACCTGCCAAGCCGCTTGCTCCTCGTGTTCGCCAACCTCCTTGCTCGTAAGTGGCACCTCCCTGCCGATCTGAGCTGCATTTCTGCCGGCCCGCGAGCAGCCCCGGCTTCCTCTGCGGTGACTCGCCCGTTCGTACCCTGCGCCCGTGTTCAGTGGGCTGCCTCTCTTTTCCTGCCCACCTGCAGGAGTCCTTTGTGTCCCCCAGACTTCCCTCTGACATAAGAATGTCTCCTGTTAGCCTTCTGTTGCCTGGATCTTGGTGTCCTTTTGCTGAATAAAGTGATTACCCATTTCTAACCTCGCTTGACTCTCAGCAAACTCAGGTGATGGGGCCAAGAAAGAGACTATTATCTCATTTAATAGGAAGAATCAGAGGCCCCAGAGGGGCCAATAGCCCACGCAAAGCTCTGCATTGGCCCCTGGCCGGTGTGGCTCAGTGGGTTGGGGTGTTGTCCTGTGCCCCGAAAGGTTGCTGGTTTGATTCGCAGTCAGAGCACATGCCTGGGTTTCGGGTTCGAATTCCCAGTAAGGGGCACGCAGGAGGAAGCCGATCAATGTTTCTCTCCCTCTCTCCCTCTCTCTCTAAAAAATCAATTTAAAAAAGCTCCACATTGGACTCCCAGCTCCTGGGTAAGCTGTGTGACAGCAGGTGGCTTTTACTGAGCATCATCTTTCTCGTCTATGAGGGATGCTCTCCGTATTTTTAGGTGGCTGTGAGCTACGTTTACTGCCCAGTACTGAACTTACACTAGGGTCCTCCCTGGCCTCCCTGCCTTATTTCTCTCTCTCCTGCTCCCACAGAAGCCAACTGCACCTATTTTAAATTCTTCACCACGGGGGAGAATGCGCACATCTTCCAGAGAACCACAAAGAAAGGTGAGAACTTTGCGCCCTGCGGTGGGGTGGGGTGGGGATATGCTGACTGTGTTGGAGGAGCTCTTTTTAAACATGTTTCTACTGATTTCAGAGAGAGGAAGGGAAAGGGCGAGAGAGACAGAAACATCAACGATGAGAGAGAGTCAGTGACGGGCTGCCTCCTGCACCCCCTGCTGGGGATCGAGCCCCCAATCCAGGCGTGTGCCCTGAGTGGGAGTTGAACCAGCAACCTTTTGGTGCTGGGAACGATGCTTAACCAACTGAGCCACACCGGCCAGGGCCTCTGTTGTCCTGATGTTCAGCGAGTGTGGACAAGTCACTGCGCTCCTCTGGGATCGTAAAAGAATCGTAGTGCCCATGTCTGGAGCACCTACTGGGTGCCAGGTGCTGCACTGGCACCTTACACAGGTGACTTCCAGTCCTCCCAACAGCCTGATCCAATAGGGAACTTGACCCTGATTTTCTAGAGGAGAAAACTGGGGCTCAGAGGGGCTCCGTGTGTGGCCTTACCAGAATCTCCCAGCTGGGAAGTGGCGGGGGGCATTCGGATTGGGTCATTCCACTGTAACACACCTCCCCACAGTCACCCACCTGCCCACGCCTCAGCTTCCTCACCTGCAAACAGACGGGGGCCAGATCATAAGTAATCACTGGTAGTTCCCATCTCCTTCTAGGGCTGGCTCTGTCCCCTTTGCTGTGTGACTTTAGGCAAATAATCGGTCCCGTCTGAGTCTTAGTTCCCCTCAATAGTGTAAGTGAAGTATTGGACTGGAAAACTCTTCTGTAGTCGTGAATCTCCCATTTTCCTGGTTCTGGGTCCCCACCGGGGAGTTCGCCCCCCTCCCTGCGTCCCATGTTCTCCACTTCTCCCCCCACCCTCCCGCAGAGCTGAATCTGGCGGCTGCGGTGATAGCGGTGCTGGGCCTGACGGTCATGGCCCTGGGGTGCCTCTGCATCATCATGGTGCTCAGCAAGGGCGCCGAGTTCCTGGTCCGAGTTGGAGCGGTCTGCTTCGGCCTCTCGGGTGAGGGCTGGGAGCCTGGAGACTGAGGACGCTGCAGGCCGGGAGGTGGGATCCCCAAGCACTGTTGCATGCTGGGAGGTATGGTCTACAAGCACCGTTGCATGCTGGGAGGTGAGATCCCTAAGCCCTGTTGCATGCTGGGAGGTATGGTCTACAAGAACCGTTGCATGCTGGGAGGTTGAGAGGTCCCCAAGCACTGTTGCATGCTGGGAGGTTGAGAGGTCCTCAAGCACTGTTGCATGCTGGGAGGTTGAGAGGTCTCCAAACACTGTTGCATGCTGGGAAGCACAAGGGCTAGTAGCAGGCTCGAATATGAGAATCCTAAGCCCTGCTGTTGGCTGGGGATTGGAGGGTCTCCAAGCACTCTTAAATTTGGACCTGGGGGGTCTGCAAGGACTGTTGCATCCTTGGAGATGAGGGTCCCAAAAAATGCTGCGTCCTGTGAAATGTCGCCCTCAGTGGATCAGGTGTTTTCTGACGTGGACAGAAGGGTGCGCCACAGGCTGGGTGGCTCAAACAACAGAAATGTATCACCTCCCAGTCCTGGGGGCTGGAAGCTCAAGGCGCTGGCAGGACGGTTCCTCCTGAGGCCTCTCTCCTTGGCTTGTAGCCGACCCTTTTCTCCCTGTGTCCTCACACGGTCCTCCCTCTGTGCCTGTCTGTGTCCTGCTCTCTTCTCCTAAGGGCAGCAGTTATATTGGATTAGAGCCCATCCTAAAGACCTAATTTTGTTTCTTTAAAGATCCTATCTCCAAATATAGGATGCCAGTCAGCTCACAACAATGCATGTACCTGACTATGGTCCATCTCTCCTGGGCTGAAGCACCGGGAGCACAGGGCCTTTGTTAGCCTCATGCATATATTTCATAATGAGAGCTCATTTAAGATGTGTTGAATGAATGCAAGATGCATGAACTAGCAAAGGAATGAGGGAGACTGGACAGTGTCTCCCCCTCCTCCAGGTGTTTTTCCACCTCCCGCTCCCGGTTGCTGAACCACATGGAGCCACAGAGGGCTCAAGAGAGGCTATAGAACCATGGCACAGACTCCAGGCTGCACTCTCCAGGGCCCTGATTAAAACACGTGGGGGAACCTGGGGGAACCAGAGAGGGTCAGGGACTGAGGTTGGGGCCAGGCTCCGGGATCAGAGAGGGGAGGCAGCTAGGGTCCATGACCGTGGGTGACCATCAGAGGGTCCTATGTGACCTGACGCCCGCCCACCTCTGCACTCCCCCTGCCCACCACTCTCCCCCTCCCCACGCCCTTTGCTCTGGACACAGCGACCTCCCTTCTTTTCCCCAGACTCACTGTACCCACCCCACCACAGGCCCTCACACCGCCGTTCCTTCTGCGTGCAGTAGCCGTCGCTCAATTTTGTGTGTGGCCGGCCTCTTATCAGCCTTCATTCAGCTGAAATGTTTTTCCTGACACCACTATTTAAAGTCCTTGCTCCACCCTGGATGTCACGTCCCTTCCGATTGCCCTGTTTTTATCTCCTCCCCAGCAGTCATCACTCTGAAATTACCTTGTCTTCTCGTGTTTGCTTCGGAGGTTGCAACCTGGCAGCCGCAGGCTAGCGAGGCCCTGACCGTGCGTGGGCTGGCGGGAGTGTGTAGAGTCCTCTGAGCCAGTACTTAAAGTTGGGTGAATTCCCATGCACGTCATAACCACTTAAAAATCCTAGCCCTGGCTTCAGATCAATAAAAAAATTCTGCCTCTTCTTGAAAAATCAGATCTGGCAAATTAAGTCTCGATTTCTGAAGGGCTGCCATGGGCAGAAGCCTGGTTTCGGTCACTCTGTCACCGCTCCCACCCCACCTGCCTGCTACCCGCCTGCTTCGTTATTTATACTTTCTCACGGTCTCCCGCAGGCGTTGCTTACCACCTGTCTCCCCAAGTAGAGTAGGAGCTCCATGGGGTCAGGGTCTTTGCCTTGTTTCTAATTTTTCTTCTCTTTTTCTTTCTTTTTAAAAATCAAATTGCATTACAGCTTGACTGCCTTTCTTTTTATTTTGTGATCCACCATCACTATTTTTTTTTTTCAACTTTACTGAGGTGTGATTGACGAGTAGAAAATGCATAAATGTATACATTGTGGGTTTTTTTTAGAGGTTCTCTTTTTTTTTTTTTTAATTGATTTTAGAGAAAGAGAGAGAGGAAGGAAGAGAGAGAAACATGGATTTGTGGTTCCACTTGTTTATCCATTGGTTGACTCTTGTCTGTGCCCTGACCAGGGAGCAAACCTGCAACCTTGGTGTATCGGGACAACACTCTAACCAACTGAGCTACCCGGCCAGGGCCATCTCCAGGACCGTTCAGTCTTCCCAAGCTGAAACTCTGTCCCCATTAAACACCAACTCCCACTCCTTCCCCCCCGCCCCGGCACCCACCATTCTCCTTTCTGCCTCTGACAGTCACTGTTCCTTCTTTCTGTCCAGCTGCCCAAATCGCACCTGCTACAGCACAGGTGTTTAATAAGTAGGTGGTGGATGAATGAGCGAATGAGAGGGTGCCTGGGGGTGCCCCGGGTTTCTTGTCTGGGAAGCATGTGGTGGGCGCATTGGAGGGGACATGGAGAGCCCAGCTGGGGGCCCGGCCTGAGCGCTCCCCGCCCCTGTCCCGCAGGCCTGCTGCTCCTGGTCAGCGTGGAGGTGTTCCGGCACTCCGTGCGAGCCCTGCTGCAGACGGCCAGCCCCGAGCCCCCCCCGGCGCCCGCCCTGACCTATGAGTACTCCTGGTCGCTGGGCTGCTGCGTGGGTGCCAGCCTGGTCCTGCTGCTGGTGGGCAGCTGCTTCCTCCTGCTCACGCTGCCGCCCTGGCCCTGGGGCTCACTCTGTCCCAAGCAGGGCCACAGGGCCCCCTAGAGGCACCATTGTGCTTCCTCTAAGCTCCTTCCAAAGCCGCCTTCTTTATCCCCTGTCCCCTCAAAACCTTTTGCCCCATGTCCTGGAGAGACTGTTCTCCTTGCTCCGGGGTCCACGTTGTTCGCACAGACCTGTGTCTCGTGCCCCGATCTTTTCCCTCTGTAAATACGTTTTCCTCGGTGGCTGAATTTGGGTCGCTTGGGGATGGGGTAGTGAGAGGCTTTTGGCCAACGAGGGTCCCCAGGGAAGGCTAGTGGGGACCTGATGGGGTAACTAGGGATGGGGGGATGAGGTCAGGGGGTGTTGGGAGGGAGTTGGACTTACTCGTTTCTGAGATCTGGATGCATTCATTGTGGGGGGGCTTCTTTTGACAAATCCAAAATTTGGAGACATAGGGGAGCGGGAGGGGAGGATGTCTGGGCCTGACCTCACTGTGGTCCGTTTGGAATTAAAGGTTTGGAAATGTCACAGCTTTGGTGTGGAGTCCACTTGTGATGGGATTGCGCATTCCGGGGTAGAGTGGCTCCCCTGCTCCCCAGAAACATGCTACATGCTACTTCTCAGTCCCCGAAGCCACATGTCCATGGTCCCACAGAGAGTGATAGAAAATTCTAAAGTTTAGAACAAAAACCTTCTTATGGGTTGAATGTGTTCTTTCCAAAAGTATATGTTGGGTCCTCACCCCCTGGACCGCGGAACGTGACCTTATTTGTTTTAATTTTTTATTTATTGACTTTGGTGGGGGGAGACATGGATTTGTTGTTCCACTTATTTATGCACTCACTGATTGATTTTGTTTTTTTGTTTTGTTAAAAAATATGTCTTTATTGATTTCAGAGAGACAGGAAGGGAGAGGGAGAGAGAGAGAAACATCAATGATGAGAGTCACTGATCTGCAGTCTCGTGCACGCCCCCTGCGGGGATGAAGCCCGCAGCCCGGCCTGTGCTGGGACCAGGGATCCAGCCCACAGCGTAGGCGTGTCTGCTCTAAGCGACTGAACCACCCGGCCAGGGCAGAATGTGGCTTTATTTGGAGATGAGGGTCTTTACCGAGGAAATCAAATTCACATGAGGTCACCCAGGAAACGCGGGGTCGCCCTTCCTTGGTGGCCCCGGCGCCCCGGCAGCGCCGTCCCCGCCTGCGCTCTGCACGGGACCGAGCACGGTCCCTTCCCCCGGCGCGCGGAGGCTGCGCCAGGCGGGCTGGGAGCTGGGCCCCGAACACCCGGGTCCCCCTTTCACGCCGGAGAACTCGCTCGCCCTCCCCGGCCCCCCCTTTCTTCCTCCCTGCACCTCCTAGAGCCCTTGGGCGAAGCCCCGCAGGCCGGCCGGGCACAGCCGGGCACAGCCGGGCACAGCTCCATCGGCCCGCTGTTAGTTTACCACCGAGGGGCACTTAGGGCTCCACATGCAGCGGAGAGAAAGGGGTCCCCCGATGCGCTGAGAGCCCCGAGATGGGAACACACTAATCACATAATCACACTAACGAGCGTGTAATTATAAACCGAGATAAGTACCAGGAACAGGGACCAGCAGCAGTTTTTTTGGGACTTCATTTTGTCTGAAGCCAGCTCAGGGAACTCCAGAGAGATGTTGGGGGGGGCGGGGCTGTGGTCACGGGAAAGGGCCCTTTGTCCAGCAGGGTCTCCCCTCTGCACCCTCTTTCCTACCGGGGTCTTCGGGGACTTCTCAGCAGTGGGCGGAGGGAGCAGAGGCTACATAATTTTTAAATTTTCAGTTATAGGTGACATTTAATATTATTTTACATTAGTTGCAGGCACACAGCACAGCAGTGAGACAATTCTGTATTTACAAGGTGACCCCCGAGTCCCCACCTGGCCCCTGCGTAGGCGTTAGGCTCTCACCGCCTG